TAAGAACCCAGAAGTAAATCCATCCACCTACCTTCAGTTGATCTTCAACAAAGAGTCATTAAATGGGGAAGAGATAGTCTTTCCAACAAATGTTGGCAAAAGTAGAAATCCATTTGCAGAAGAATGAAACAACACTCATACTTCACATCATGCAAAATAATGAACTCCATGTGGATTACAGTTCTAAATGTAAAGCCTTGCTGTTGTTAAGTGTCATTAAGTTGGTTCCAACTCAGCGACCCTGTATAGGGTTCCCAAGGAACAGCTGGTGAGTTTGAACCACTGACCTTGAGATTCAAACCGACCTTACAGTCCAGTACTTATCCTACCTACAGCACCACGCCAGGATTCCTAGAACTATAAAAATCAATGAGAAAATGTAGACAAAGTCAGGGGCTCTGACACATGACATAAATATACTATGAAACATAACTGAAAACATACAAACAAAAGACAAAATAGACGAGTGAAAAGAAAACCCAAAGACTGTGGGAAAAATTTTGGCAATGATGTATCAAAGGACTACTCTCTAAAATGTACAGAACACTTTAACACCTCAACTTGTAGAAAACAAATTTTAAAATGCACAGAGTACATAACAGACGCTTCACCAAAGAAGACATTCAGGTGGTCAACAACATATGAAGAAAAGTTCATGATCATTGTTGTTGTTTTTGTTAAGTGCCATCGAGTCGGTTCCAACCCAAAGCAACTGTGTATAGGGTTTCCAAGGAGTGGCTGGTGAGCTTAAACCATCACCCTGTAGTTCAAACCAACTTTGCAGCCCAGCACATCAACCCACAGTGCCACACCAGGGCTCCATTGTTGTTGTTAAGTGCCTTGGAGTCAGGTCCGACCCATAGCAACCCTGAATAGGGTTTCCGAGGAAGCAGTTGGTGAGCTTGAACCACAGACCTTGCAGTTCAAACGGCTTTGCAGTCTGTCACATTAACCCATAGCACCACACCAGGACTCCTTACAGATATGCAAATCAAAACAACAATGACTTAGCATCTCATCCCAGCATTAATAGCAAAGTTTAAATAAACAGAAAGTAACAAATGCTGGCAAGGGTGTAGAAAGACTGGGACCCTCCTACGCTGCTGGTGGCACTGTAAAATGGTGTAACCGCTGTGGGAAATGGTCTAGCACTTTCTAAAAGAGTTGGAAATAGAAATTCCATAGGCACCACCAATCCCTGCACTTGGTATATATCCTCAAGAAATAAGAACCATGGAATGAATAGATATATGTACACCCATGTTCACTGAAGCACCATTCACAATAGCAAAAAAAGGAGACAGCCTAAATGCCCATCAACAGAAGAATGGATAAACAAACTTTGGTACATACACACCATGGAATACTATGGAACAATGAAGAATAATGATGAATATGTAAAACCCCTCACAATATGAATGAACCTGGAGGGCATTATGCTGAATGAAATTATTCTATCATAAAAAGAAAGATACTGTAGGAGACCACTGTTGTAATAGTAAATTTTGCTTGAAAAATATGATGGCTACCAGGGGTGAGAGAGGAAAGGGAAAATGATTCATGGGGAAGGCAGTGTACAGTAAGAGGGAGCTTGGCAGAGGAAAGATAAAGGTAGCATGAAAGAATGCAAGAGGTAAAAGTGAACAGAGAAAAATACTGTTAACTGACGGCCCATGGAGGGGACTGCAATCATAGCAATGAAAGTATGTGATTTGTTGAATGTAAAACTGATTATGTGCTCTGTACACCTTAATGCAATAAATAATAATAATAAAAGAGCCATTGCAAAAACAAAAACTTGTTTTCATAAATTTGCTGATGGAGTTCATCTGCCACTCATTTTACTGATTAATCCACACGAGTGAGTGGTTTCTACAGCTGACTGATCTCCTGTTGATTCTGAACTTATTCTTAGAAGGTAATCTTATTTCTAATTGCTGTTGGTAGTTGCCAAGATGAGGTTCCGACTCAGGCAAGCTTAGGTTTATCTACCAAACATTGCCCACTCCTTTGCCATCTTCATGTGTGTTGCTGTTGTGACTATTGTATCATCCCATCTCATTGAAGGGTCCCTCATTTTCCCTCACCCTCTATTTTATCTATCATGATGTCCTTGCTACTGATTGTTTTTTCCTGTCCGAAGTAAGCAAAGCTGAACTTGCCTTTAATGTGCACACACATAAAACCTGAAAAGAAAAGAAAAAAGCACTTAAGGAGAAAAAAGTACTGTTATACAAACACCCAATGAAAACAATTGCCTGGCCACACCCTTCCTGCCACCAGATCATTTTCCTTAAAACTGTAAACTCCTTGAGATGAAGTCATTGGCCCAAAATTGTAGGCATTCAAACCAGACTGAGAAGTCTCCTACACCCTAGCTGTTTTCGTGTATTATTTAAGAGTAACGACCTAAAGAAATTATTTAGAAAACAGAAAGAAACTCAGATTGAATTTGCCACTCAGGAACAAGTAGCGTCACAGATATTTAAAAAAGCTTAAGACTTCATTTGTTTGAGGTGCCAAATGGGAAGATGAGATATTTGCTAATGGAAATTTCATATTTGTGGACATAAGCCCTTAACATCAACTTTTCCATTTATATTAAGTATTAACCACCCACTTACTTTTAGTTCCCTTTCATGTTTTTCTTTGTTTTGTTTCGCAGTGGATAAGGCACGACCTTACACCAGGTTCCCTTCATTAGTTTCTGCCCAGAGGAAGGGAACAGAAAAGTGCAGGTGCCAAATTATTACTAAAACTTTGTCTCATGACATACCATTGGAACTTACTCTAAAGCTTTACTGTAGCCATGTTCTTTCTACGTGTGTTTCTCTGTTCTCAAATAAGTATGTGAAGTTGAAAAGTTTCTAACACTCAATACTTTGGTGATAAAAATGTTTTTTGTAATAATTGCTGAAATTTATTCAGCACTTATATGCCAACCACCTAAGCCTTTCACAACAATCTTATGAGGTAGAGTCTATCATTCCCCATTTTACAGTTGGGAAAACTTAGTCCAAGAGCTAATTTTCTTGACTACAGTCACATAGGCTACAAATGGCAGAGCTAGGATTTGAACCCTCATTGTGGGACTGCAGAACTCACTTTCATTGATTCTTGAATATAAGCCTCCATCAATTATCTGAAGTCTTGTTAAAACAGATTGTTGGATCCCAGGCCCAGAGTTTCTCATTCAGTAGGTCTAGGGTGGCAGCCATGAATTTGCATTTCAAACAAGTTGCCAGGTGATGCTACTTCTGAGCCCCAGAACTACACTTTATTAACCTCCGCTATAACTCACTGTAGTTGTTTTCCTCATTTCCCAGCAGGGAGTTATGATTACATACCACGCGAGATGATAAAATTTGATGAAGGATCTAAGAGAAGCTTCCTGACATTTTATAAAAAGTTAACAGATGTGAGACACTGTATAGGCACTTTTCATGCATAATCTCATTTAATCCTCACGCCAGTCCTTGGGATTAGCTGTTTAAATTTTGTCCCATTTCTAGCGAGAAAACAAGGTTGGGACGGTATTGGAAACTTGATCAAGTTTATGAACAAGCAAATAGCAATACAAGGGTTCAAGTTAAGGACTGGTCACAACACAATCCCTTTGACTACAGATTTTGCAGAAAGTAAATGCTCACTAAATACATTGTTAAATTAGTGAACAAAAGAATTGTTCATTTTTATATCAAAAGTGTCACTATTCCATGGAAGACATTTTGACATGTCAAAGTAACTGCACTGGGTTTTACAATGTAACAAAAGAGTTATAAAACACAAAAGGGTTTTAGAGGGTGAGTTTCTGAAGAAATTCAATCTCAAGGTAGAAGGAACTTTTAACAAGGACAGTGGTGTAGACGATACTGGGGATAAATTAAAACCAAATCAAGCCCATTGCCAACCAATGGATTCCAACTCATAGTGATATCATACAGAGTTTCCAATATTGTAAATCTTTATGGGAACAGACAACCTTCTCCTTCTCCCGAGGAACAGGTGGTGGGTTTGAACCACTGACCTTTTGGTTAGCAACTGAGCACCTAACCCACAGCACCCCCAATGCTTCTTATTGTTGTTAAGTGTCGTAGAATCAGTTCCAACTCATAGCAACACAATATAGGGTTTCCAAGGAGCAGCTGGTGGGTTTGAACTGCCAACCTTGTGATTAGCCATCCCATGTTTATACTACAGCAACAAACCACGACTCCCCAGGGCTGCTCTTTAAAAAAGTTTGCTGCTAAGTGCTGCCAAGTCGGTTCTGTTAGTAGATCATCAGCGATTAACCATCTGTGCCACTGGATAGTTAAAAACTGTGTTGTGATTACCCCCATTATACGGAGGAGGAAATGGAGGCTCACAGGAGTTATGTAGAATGGGTTGGGGCAGGGGTTTCGGTTTTACTCTGGGTCAAAGTGAAGTCAGAAGGCCCCAGTCAAAAGGACAGTCGACACCCACGGCGCGCTGCTCAAGGTGGCCTTTGCCCTAATTGCCGCAAGCCAGCTTCGAGGAAATACCCTCCGTCAGAGGCCAAATTTTCTTGCATGTGAGATGCAAATTCTAGAGCTGGGAAACTACAAAGAAAGGAAAAAGTTGGGTCCCCGTAACCTCTTTTCTTGACCTCATCGTGCTAACTCCGCCTCCAGTCTCCAAGGAGACTCCGCTTCAGGCTCCCTGGTCACCAAGGGCGGAGCTCGAGTTCCCTCCTACTTGGAACTGGCACCGGCTCCCAGGCTTGGAGAAGCGCGGTGCCCCCGACTTCTCAGTTGTCATCGTCCCTCTTTACGGGCCCCTGAACTCTAGTCTAGCCCGCTGTCCCGCGCATTCTCCAGAGACCGTGAGCCCCCCACGCGGCCCGCCCCGCAACACGCTGATTGGCGGCTCCGGGCGGCAGCGGCTCGGCCCTGCGGAAAGTTCTCTGCGCCGCCGGCAGGAAGTTGAATCTTTGGATAGTCTACGAAAGCTGCTCAGGAGGCGACAAGGACCTGGTGGTCATGGAAGAACCCCCTGTGCGCGAAGAGGAGGAAGAGGAAGGGGATGGGAACGACCTGGGGCCCGAGGGGGCTCTGGGCAAGAGTCCCTCCCAGCTGACCACCGAGGACGTCTACGATATCTCCTACGTGATGGGCCGCGAGCTCATGGCCCTGGGCAGCGACCCCCGCGTCACACAGCTGCAGTTTAAAATCGTCCGCGTCCTGGAGATGCTGGAAACACTGGTGAGCGAGGGCAGCCTGGAGGCGGAGGAGCTGCGGTTGGAGCGGGACAGTCTGCGGAAGGAGGTGCAGGCGCTGCGCAACCGGGGCCCGGTGGCCACTAGCGAGGTGAGCTTGGGTACTGGGGTCGTGGACTGGGGCGCTGGGGATTGGCCACGGACCCTGAAGCCCTGGGCCTTTCTTTCCTTTATAATACTTTGTTATTTTTGTTGTTTGGTGGTGGTTAAACATACACACAGCAGAACACACATGCATTTAACGGTTTCTACACAGGTACAGCGTAACTGACAAGGACAGCAGTTTTCCACTTGTGCAACCCTTCTGACCTCTTAATGAGTTGTTCCTCATTAGCATAAATCCACTGCCCCCCTCCCCCGAAGGTGCCAATTTGAGCCCATGCTGTCCAGTCAATTCCGACTTAGTTTAACTGTATAATATCTAAGAAGCGGCTGGTGGGTTTGAACCGCGGAGCCTGTGGTGAGCAATTTAGTGTTCATGATATACCACCACACTTGGTCTCCATATAAACAAACAAACAAACAAAAAAACATTGTCATTGAGTCGATTTCAACTCCTAGCATCTGGGACTGGACGGAACAGAGTAGAACTGCTAATTAGAGTTTCAGAGATTGTACATCTTTATGGGCGCTGACAACCTCATCTTCCTCCCTCGGAGTTGCTGGTGGATTTGAACCTGCACTCTTGTGGTGCGTTCCAGCACTTAACCCACTATACCACCAGAGTTCCATAAAAGTACTTATTGTTGTTAAGTGCCTTCCTGTCAGGTCTGACTCTTAGTAACCCTGGATAGGGTTTAGAAGGAGCAGCTGATGGATTTGAACCACTGACATTTGGTTATCATACCTTGCCACGCCAGGACTCAAGAACATAAAACTCAAGGTATAAGTACCTTACTAGTTAAACTCTTGTTTCGTTTTTAAGAAGACTTTAGGGGCTATTGTTGATTTCAGGTTTGAAGTTCGCAGGGCAATTGATTTAGTTTTAGGGGCCTTTTCCTTCTTCATCCTTCAGTCCCCTCAAAACAATTCCCTGCAGATACCCAGTCCTCTGATGAAAGCCATTGGGATGATTCACATTTATTGAACGCTTAGATTTTTGACCAGGGCCTAGAGTTGTGGTTCTCAAGCATTTGCAAGCTTCAGTTTGCATAGGGTATGCCTTACAAGGCAGAGTGCTGGCCCCTGGCTGGAGAGTTTCTGATTTAGGGGGTCTTGAATGGGAAGCTGGTTGCACAGTGGAAAAGCTAGAGATATGAATCCACCAGTCACTCCATGGGCGAAATCTGTGGTAGTCTGCTAATGTGAAGATTACCATCTTGGAAACCCTCTGGGGGCAGTTCTACTCTGTCCTAAAGGATACCTGTGAGTCAGAATTGGATCCACACAAACAGTTCGGTTTTGGTTTGAATGGAACCTGACAATTTACATTTCTTTCAAGGACCCAGGGGATGCTGCTGGACCAGAAACCATACTTTCAGAACCTTTGACCTAGAGGATAAAATAACATGTTTTAACTAAAGCAAAAATAGTGTGTGTGAACACTGAGAAGACACAGAGCAGAATGTGTGAGCTCCTTTATTCCTAATTGCCCCAAACGGGAAACAGTCCCGATGTAACAGGAGACTAGACCATTTCCCAAGGTGATATAGTCATACAATGGAATACTATACCCCAGTGAAGACTTTTGCTACAGCCAACAGTATAGCCACATGTCACAGATGTTTCATGGTGAGAAAGGAGCAGAACCTTCCGTGACTTTATATGAAGTTCAAGAACAGGCCAAATAATCTTTGGTAATAGAAGGCAGAATGGTGGCTACCCCTGGGGAAAGGCAGGAGGAAAAGTTAAGGAGCGTTAGAAATGGCCCACGTTTCACTCAGAGATGGAAGGAGAACACACGTGCCCAACGCTAGATCACACATGAGAAGAGTTCCATCTAAGGACCCCAGGAACACGGTGGTTGCAGTCGCTTTGCTGGTTCACTTTTTCCTTTTTGTGGTAAAAAAACATATAACATTTGGTATTTTAAGGTTTAATTATATACTGTTTTTTAAGCATACAGTTCAGTAGCATTACATAACATTCACATTAACTGCATTGTTAAGTACTGTTAAGTGGGTTCCAACTCATAGTGACCCTGTATAGAGTTTCTGAGGAGCAACTGGTGAGCTTGAACTGCCAACCTTATGATTCATAATGACCTTGTAGTCTAGCGCATTAACCCACAGTGCCACACCAGGACTCCTTAAATACATTAACCGCTATCTATTTCCAAAACTTTGTTGCCACCCCAAACAGAAGCTCAGTACCTCTTAAGCAGTAACTCACCATCCCCCCGTCCCTCAACCCTTGTTGTTAGGTACCCTCTAATTGGTTCTGACTCATCACGACCCCGTGTACAATAGAAGCAAACACACTGCCCTCTCCTGCATCTACCTCATAATCATTGCTATGTTTGAGCCCCCTCTAGCAACCGCTGTGTTAATTCATCTCATTGAAGGTCTTTCTCCTTATGCTGACCCTTTGTTGTTGTTGTTGTTAGGCACCATGGAGTCAGTTCCGACTCTTAGTGACTCTGCACAACAGAAAAAAACACTACCTGGTCCTGCACCATCCTCACGGTTACTAAGGTTGAGCCCATTGCTACTGCCACTGTGCCCGTCCATCTCCTTGGGGACCTTCCTGTTTTTCACTGACCCTCCACTTTACCAAGCATGATATCCTTTCCCAGGAACTGGTTCCTCCTGATAATATATCCAAAGTATGAGAGACAACATCTCACCATTTGCTTCTATGGAGAATTCTGACTGTATTTCTTCCAATAGATTTGTTTGTTCTTCCGGAAGTCCTTGGTTCTTTTAATATTGTTCACCACCATAACTCACATGCATCAGCTTTTCTATGGTCTTCCTTATTCATTGTCCAACCTTCACATGCATAGGAGGCAATTGAAAATACCATGGCTTGGGGCAGGTGCACCTTAGTCCTCAAACTGACGTCTTTGCTCCTCAACACTTTAAAGTGGTCTTGTGCAGCAGGTATGCCTAATGCAGTACATCATTTGATTTCTTGACTGCTGCTTCCATGAGTGTTGATAGTGGGTGCTACCTTTTACTAACCACTAATCTACTTTAATCTTTATGCATTTGCCTCTTGTAGATATTTTGTATCAGTGGGATCATACAATATTTTTCTTTTTGTGTCTTACTTCTTTCACTCAGGATAATGTTCTCAAGGCTCATCCCTGTTGTATCATGGGATGAGAACCTCAGTTCTCTTTATGGATGAATACTATTCCATTGTATCCATTTATCTGCTGGTGGAGCTTAAGTTGTTTCCCCCTTTTGTGAATAATGTTGCAGTAGACACCGGTATACAAGTATCTGTCTGAGACCTTGTTTTTACTTCTTTGGCTGGTATGCTTTGGGTTGGGATTGCTGGGTCATTGGGTAATTCTGTTTACTTTTTTGTTTTTTCTGTGTACTTTTTGAGGACCTAATGATATACTTTTGTTTCACCTGTCCCTAAGCCATGGTGTCAGTTAGATAAGGCCCAACTTTGCTATCCACTTGTGAGATGCCTGAGTATTATTATGAGTAACCATGCTTTTGAGATTCAAGAGAAGTCAAATGAATGGGTTATCCAAGATCATTCAGGCCACACTCCGGATGCTTTCCCCATAACCTCCAATCCAGGATACAAAGGTGGAGAAACCCAATTAGGGAGGTCTGTCCAGTAGCTGGGTAATTTCCTGTGTGGGGCAAAATGGAACAGCTGCAGTAGGCAGAGATGAGATGGCACTTTTCCTTCTAAACCGCAGTCTTAAGAACTAAGGGAAGGAGGAAATGGCGGACCGAGTAAATATTTAGTGCCCCTTTCTGTGCCCTCAAGTTGATTCCAACTTGACCCTGTATAGTGTTTCCATGGCTGTAAATCTTTGTAGGAGCAGAAAGCCTCATCTTTCTCTTATGGAGCAACTGGTGGGCTTGAACCACTGACCCTGTGGTTCGCAGTACAGTGTTTATCCTACTGAACCACCATGCTTCACTTAGTGCCACTAGACAGTTCATAAAATTCCTGTGTTCTTTTCTGTTTCAAAAATGTTCATTCAATCTCCAAAAGGTACAATGGTCAACAATGACTTTAATGCAATTAAAACAATTTAATAAAATTAAAACAATGACTTTAATGTAAAGTAAAGAGGCAGGGAACCTAGACTAATAGAAAACCCACCAGAAGGAAAATCGTGAGAATATTCACACATTGTCACTGAACAGCTTGTGGAAGTTGTTGCATGGGAACTTAAACTGAGGGGTACATCTTAACCCAAAAACACAATGAAAAAATATATTTTTTAATCCCAAAGGTACAAAAGTGTTTGCCATTAAAAATTTCTCTCCCATCTGTCTCCACTCCTCGCCACCCAGTTCCTCAGCCTGGAGAAAAAGAAAATGTTCTATTTCTCAAGTCTTCCTCCTGAGCTCTATGATGTAAACACAGCAGAAGTGAATCTATTTTTTTTTTTTTCTTCCCATTTGTTTTACAAAAGTGCTAGCGTACTTGATATGCACTGTTCTACCTCTTGCTTATTTGCACTTAGAATGACTTGGAAGATGAACTGAACGACACTGTCAGGACGATTATCATTTGTAGTGGACTTTGAAAAATGCTCTTGTTCTGTGTTATCAGATGTTCAATCTGGAGTTTCGTAATTTAACAGTCATGTGTCTCCAAGGGGACAGTAATGTGACTTACAGAGCTCCTTGAATGTATACTGAATATTACACTTAAATCAATAAAATTATATTCACAAATAAAATTCTACTCTTATGTTCACCCCCGCTGTGGCATTATAGGATCAGCGCTGGACTTCGAACTACAGGGTCGACAGTTCAAACCCACCAGCTGCTCCTTGGGAACCCTGTACAGGGTCGCTGTAAGCCAGAACTGACTCGACAGCACTTAACAACAATGAAAACCTCCAACTGAAATTCATAATTTTCTTCATTTATGAATGCAGACAGTAAAGCACTATAATATTAGCAGTACCCGTGGCTGCCACCAATAGAAATGACAGATCTTTTCATAGCAGTGTCCCTGAATGGCACACATGGCTTGTACTGAACTACTAACCAAGTCTTGTGGTAGTACTGTAGAATGAACACTGGACTGCTAACCACAGGTTGACAATTCAAACCCACAGTCACTCCTCAGAAATCCTATTGCAGGGTCTCTATGAGTTGGAACTGACTTGATGGCACTAAACAACAACTAACTGAAGGATCACTGGCTTGAATCCACCCAGCATTGCCCAGGAAAAAGGCCTGGGTTTCTGGTTCCAAAAAATAGCCCAGAGAACTCTATATAGAGTTTAATTCTACTCTGGAACACACAGGGTTGTCGATAACAATGCGGTTTTCATATCACATTATAATACGGCATCTCTCAAAACTTGTTTCCTGTTCAACACTCCTTTGAAGTAATAGTTGTTACTTGACGTGTGGTGGCAGTTGTTGTTAACTGCCGTCAAGTTGGTTCTGACTCATAGCAACTCTGTATAGGGTTTCCAAGGATTGGCTGGTGGGTCTGAATCACCAACTTGGTACTTAGCAGTCCAGTGCTTATCCTACAGAAGGCCTATCACTAGATCGTATTATTCAATGCATGCATGAAGAAACAGCTAAATTAATCATAAATTTGGTGGCACAGCGGTTTAAGAGCTCAGCTGCTAACCCAGAGGTCAACAGTCTGAAGCCCCCCGAGTCCAAAGCTCTGCTTTGGAAGAAAGATGAGGCGTTCTGCTTCTATAAAGCATGACACCCTTGGGAACCCTATGGAAAAGTTGTCCTCTGTTCTGTAGAGTCACTGTGAGTTGGGATCACCTTGATGGCAGTGACTTGTTTGTTTCAGTGATGTCTGAGGAGTCCTGGTGGTGCAGTGGTTAAGTGCTTGAAAGGTCTGCACTTTGAACCCACCAGCTGCTGTTCCACAGGGAAAGATTGTCTTCTTCCATAAAGATTGCAGCCTTGGAAACCCTAGGGGGGGAGTTCTGCTCTAGCCTAAAGGGTCGTGGTAAGCTGGAACCAACTCCACAGCAACTGGTTTGGGTATTTCATTTTAACTGGTTTCCTTGTAATCCTATACATTTTATTTCAGACATTGAAAAACATTGATCTCAGAAGGAATTCACTCTACCAGACTGCAAAAATGGGTCCGTGGCATGAAAAGTATTTTGAAATGCTACTGTAACATGCCTCATGTCCAAAGCCATTTCCTGTCCAGCCATTTACTCCCACCACATGCAATAACGAATACCCCGACACGTGCTGTTTGGCAGCTGAGGAAGAGGAGCTTGGCTCAAAGGGAAGGTGCCCCGGAAATTGAGATAAATCAACACCACAGCCTTTTCTGTCCAGTCGATTGTGATGGTTAGCAACCCTACAGGACAGAATAGAACTGCCCCCTCGAGTTTCCAAGGCTGTCAGTCTTTAAGGAGCAAACAGCCTCAGCTATGGGTTTGAACCCCAACCTTTCAGTTAGCAGTACAGTGCTTACACAGCTGCACCACCAGGGCTCCTTTACAGTGTCCCTGGAAGCCACAAAACCAGCCAGTGAACATTCCTTTTTAGACTAGCAACCCATCATTAGGGACACTAGACAAGTAGCTTCTTTTCTTACAGGTGAGCCTGGGGTCAAACAAGATGGTGGTGGACCTGACAGATCCCAATCGGCCTCGCTTCACGCTGCAAGAACTGAGGGATGTGCTTCAGGAACGCAATAAACTCAAGGCGCAGCTGCTGGTAGCGCAGGAAGAGCTACAGTGCTACAAGAGGTGGGGCTCCTGGCACACAGTCAGCCCCTCCTGGTACTCCCTAATGCAAGTCCCTTCTTTTGTCCCTTCAACCTTGCATCAAAGACCTTCTATGTGCCAGCCACTGTTCCAGGCACTTGGAGTACAGGTACCGCAGTGAACAAAACAGAGAAAGCCCAGGAAATCGAAAGAGCTCCAAAGTAACACTTAGAATAATGGCGGTAGATACTCTAAATACAAGAGTGGGATAGAGAGTGAAAATGCAGTAGGCTGTGTGTGTGTGGGGGGGGTGGGGGGCGGTTATTTTAGATTGGGTGATCAGACATGACTAACAAGAAGCAGACAGCCATGTCAAGATTTGGGGGCAAGATGGAACAGGAGGTGCAAAGGCTTTGAGGTGGAGGCCAGTTCAGGAAATCAATATGGCAGTGCCCGGAATGCAAAGTAAAGTGGGGTCTAGAAGAGACTGGGGAGGAATGCTTTGCCAGCCATGGGAAGGAGCATTAATTTTATGTTGAGTGTATTAAGAAGCGTTGGAATTTTAATCAAGAGAAGGACAAGAACTGATTAAATTTTATAAAGACCAGTATGGTGATTTTGGCTATTGAGTTGTAGTTATGTAAGAGAATGTCTTTGTTCTTAGGAAGTACACTTGAAGTTTTTCTTGAAAAGGGTCGTCTTTATTCTGTCTGCGGTCGAATCATTTTGGGTAGCACTGAGTTACACCAAAAAGATTTTATTATAGGCAGAGGAAGGAGAGGATAAGAGAATAAAAACAGAGTACCAGCTGATATTTACCAATGCCAACTGCCTGCTTTCTCTCCTGCTCCTCTAACAGAAATACCACAAATGGATGACTTTAACAAACAGAAACTGATCCTTCAGTTCAGGAGGCTGGATGGAGTGCCAGCTCTAGGGGAAGTCGTTCTCTCTCTGCCCACTCTGGGGAAAGGTCCTTGTCTCCTTTCTTGACAATTGTCACATGTCTTGGCACCAATCTTCCCCTGGATCAAGTAACTTCACAGTGCAGGGACCCCAAATCCAGAGAACACACCTCCGCCCAGCTCTTCTTTCTTGGTAATACTAAGTTTCTTTCCCTCTGCTCACTTCTCTTTACTTTGATCTTTTGTAACGTAAAAGGTGTTGCAGGCCACACCCCAGGAAAACTCCCTTTGCATTATTAGATCAAGGCTTTGATGGGATTAATGGTGCTACACTCTTCCTCCTCTTAGGAGCTCTGGTAGCATAGTGGTTACGAATCGGGCTGCGAACCTTAAGATCAGCGGTTCGAAACTACCAGCCGCTCCGCGGGAGAAAGATGAGGCTTTCTACTCCCGTAAAGATTTACACCCTTGGAAACCCTGTACAGGGTCGCTATGGGTCGGAACCGACTCGATGGCACTTAACAACAACAACAACAACACTCTTCCTCCTCTTAGTAGTTTTATCACATCAGATCACACCACACCATGGGGAGTGGGGGCAGTAATTAACTGCCAAACCACTGCAGATCATGGATCAGCCACTTCAATCCATGACACCCACCAGGTGCCGGATACTCATCTCAGTGCCTCCCAGGTGCCACTGGTATCACTGTGCCCTGCAAGTCTGTGAGTTCAGGAACTGCTCGCCCCACGGTGAGAGAGGTCAGATGTCTACACGAAGTCCCATAACTAGTGGTGGCAATGGTGAGATGTGACCTCACAGCCTGAAACCAGCCTTTGCTTTCATTTAATCTGACACATGGAGACAGTCAAAGTTTGATATAGTTAAGGACATACTCTGATCAAAAGAAAAAAAATCCCAGTGATACTATTCTTTAGATGCAACATCTTTAAGATAGCAGGAGGAATCAAATTATTTTAATAAACCAAATCCAAAAGGACTCAGTATTGCCGATGAGGATTCAGTCATGGTTTCCCTTCTGCTGAGGTTGGGACCATGTTCGTGAAAAGAACTACCTACTGCATCTCATGAAAGAAGTGCTTCAAACCCACAGAGTAGAGCGATCCCAAAGGATGTCCTAGACTGTACTTTATGAGAGCAGATTGCCCTGACATCTCCTGCAGACAGCTATTGAAACTGATCTACCAACCTTCCAGTTAGTAATTCAGCACTCAACCACTGTGCCACCAGAGCTTCGCCTACTTCAGACATAGGGAGTTCTGAAGAGGAAGAGCTAAATTGTTGATGCAGAGAGCAGCTTGTTAGTGAATATTTTCAACTTTGAATTCCCAGGAAACAACAGATGTGTACTTCCCACGGGGGACCAGCAGAAAGACAGCAGGATCCAATTTAGTATCTAGTGTTATGTATATTCCAGAGAAACTAGCAAAGTGTCAACTGAGATGTTCTCTTAGCAACAGTATCAATTTAGAGAGCTAAGTTCATACTAATGACAGTTTGCAACAGAAGGGAGATGGAGAAGGTTGTTTCCAAAGATGGCCACCATGACATTTCTCATCCTGCATACCTTTTGTAGTAAGGCGTTGTCACTCTTCTCGTGAAGAATGGCTTTATTTAGGAATACATGATCTCCACATACTGGAAATCCATGAGTCTCCATTCGAATGTTCTTGTGCTTGCAGTAAAGCTTTCCTTAAAAAACAAAACCAAGTGACTCTGTTTTCCTTCTCCTGGAATCTGGACTTGCCCTGTGACTAGCTTTGACCAGTGGAATATAGTAGAAGTGATGCTATTTGGCTTCATAGGCTCAAGTTGAATCACCATCATCAGCTCCCCTTAAGTTGACTCGAATGCATGGGGGGACCTCCTGTGTGTCAGAGTAGAATTGTGCTTCATAGAGTTTCCAATCTGCTGATTTTTGGAAGCAGATTGGCTAGGACTTTCTTCTGAGGTGGACTCAACCTCCAGTATTTCAGTCAGCTACTGAGAGCTCTAGTTGCTTGTTTCATACAGGGGCTTCTTGGGTTTCCAGAGGATTGTTTAATTGGTTAGTTCTTCATCTTATAAATGAGGAAACCAAGACTTAGTTTAAATAATTTATTCATGGTCATACACCTAGAATGTAAGGAGCTTGAAGTACTGACCAATGCAATTAGATAGGAGAAAGAAATTGTTGTTATTGTTAAATGCTGTCCAGTAGGTTCCGATTCATAGTGACCCTGTTTAGAGTTTCGGAGGCTTTAGATCTTTGCAGGAGTAGAAAGTCTTGTCTCTCTCCCAAGGAGTGGCTGGCAGGCTGAAACCATGGAACTTGTAGTTCGCAGTCCAGTTCTTGTCGTGTTACGAGATATAAAATTGGAAAGGTAGAGGGAAATGGACATTCTTGTTTTGGTTTCTCTGTCTCTAGCGACTTATTGGTTATAGAGAGCTCTTAACCATTATATTGCTGTTGATGTAGGGTACCATCAAGTTGGGCCAATACATAGTGACCCCTGTTCAACAGAACGAATCCCTGCCTGGTTCTGTGTTACCCTCACAAGTATTGCTAGCCTTGAAGTCACTGTTTCAACCACTTGTGTCACTCCATCTTGTTCAAGTCTTCTTCTTGGTCCCTGACCCTCTGCTTTATAATTACCACTTTATAATAACTGCTAAGACTCTTCACTTCCAGAGTGTCACAGAGGAAAGGTTTGCAATTTTTTAAAAATCCATTTATTTGCCTCTTTCTTTGCCAGTGGCCTGATTCCACCAAGAGAGACTCCTGGAGGAAGAAGAGAAAAAGATACCCTGGTTACCAGAACCAGTAATGCCAGCAGTAATAAGGAGGAGAAGACGATTATAAAGAAATTGTAAGTCACATTTCCACTAAATAGTTGCTAAAGGAAAGGGGGCTGATGAGAAGGGGCTGACCAGCTGCCTGGGACAGGAGGGTACTCGTCTCTCCGGGTCTTGGCGTTGCAGCAGATAAGGTACTCAATGCTAGTGTAGTAGAACTCTCCTGTGCTAGTTCTAAACACCTGACAGATAATTTAGTCATCACAGTAACCCTGTGCTCTTGTTGTTAGATGCCCTGGAGTCAACTCCAACTCATAGAACCAACACAACAGAACAAAACACTTCTTGGTCCTGCGCATTTTTCACAGTTGTTGCTATGTTTGAGACCATAGCTGCTCCTACTGTGTCAGGCCATCTCTTTGGGGGCTTTCCTCTTTTTCGCTAACCTACCACTTTAACTAGTGTGATGTCTTTCTCCAGGGACTGAGCCTTCCTGACAATATGTCCTCAGTACAAAATGAAGTCTCACTACCATTGCTTCTAAGGAACATTCTCGCTGCGGTTCTTCGGAGACAGATTTGCTTGTTCTTCTGGCAGTCCATGGTACTTTCAATATTCTTCACCTACACCATAATTCAGAATGCATCAATTCTCCTACAGTCTTCCTGATTCATTGTCCAACTTTCACATATGTACAAGGAGATTGAAAATACCATGGCTTGGGTCAGGCACATCTCCGCCCTCAAACTGACATCTTAGCTCTTGAACACTTTAAAGAGGTATTGTGCAACAGATTTGCCTAATGCAATATGTCATTTGATTTTTTGACTGCTGCTTCCGTAAGTGTTGATTATGGATCCAAGCAAAATGAAGTCTTTGACAGTTTCAATATTGTCTCTGATTATCAAGATGCTGCTATTTATTGGTCCGGTTGTGAGAATTTTTGTTTTCTATACATTGATGTGGTGCAATCCATGCTGATGGCTGTGATCTTTGATCTCCATCAGCCAAGTCTTTTCAATTATCTTCATTTCCAACAAGCATGGTTGTATCATCTGCATATACAGGTTAATGAGCCTTCAGCCAATCCTGATGCCACATTCTTGTTTATACAATCCAGTTTCTCGGATTATTTGCTCAGCATTCAGATTAAATCAGTATAGTGAAAGGATACAAACCTGGTACAAACCTTTCCTGATTTTAAACCATTCAGTATCATCTGGTTTTGTTCAAACTACTGCCTCTTGATCCATGTACAGGTTCCTCTTGAACACAGTTAAGAATTTTGGAATTCCCATTCTTCGTAATGTTTTTCTTAGTTTGTTAGGATCCACACAATTGAATGCTTTTGCATCAATAAAGCACAAGTAAACATCTTTCTGGTATTCTCTGCTTTCATTGTCGATCCATATGACATCAACAATAGTATCCCTAGTTCCCAGTCCTCTTCTGAATCTGGTTTGAATTTCTGGCAGCTCCCTGTCAAGGTACTGTAGCAACCATTTTTAAATTATCTTCAGCAAAATTTTATTTACGCATGATATTAATGCTATTGTTTGGTGATTACTACATTCGGTTGGGTCACCTTTCTTTACAATGGACACAAATATAGATCTCTTCCAATCAGTTGGCCTGGCAGCTGTCTTCCAAATTTCTTGGCAGAGATGAGTGAATGTCTCTATGCGTCAGTTTGTTGAACCATTTCCATTTGTATTCCGTCATTTCTTGGAACTTTGTTGTTTGCCAATGCTTTTAGTTGCAGTTTAGACTTATTCCTTCTGTGTTTGTTGGTTCTTGATCATGTGGTATGCTTACCTCTTGAAATTGTTGAACGGTAACCAATTATTTTTGTTACAGTGACTCTATTCCTTCCATCTCCTGATGCTTCCTGCATCATTCAATATTTTGCTTCTTGTTGTTAAGTCAGTTCCAACTCTTAGTAACCCTGTATAGAGTTTGAATCACTGACCTTGAGGTTAGCAATCCAATGCAGGACTCATAGAATCCTTCAATATTTCAACCTGAGGCTTGAATTTTTCTGCAGTTCTTTCAGCTTGAGAAATGCTGAACATGTGTTCATCCCTTTTGGTTTTCTAATTCCAGGTTTTTGTACATTTCATTGTAATATTTTGTCTTCTTGAACTGTCCTGTGTAATTCTCTATTCTGCTCTTTTACTTCATCATTTCTTCCAGTCGCTTTAGCTTCTTCTCTGTGTTCAAGAGCAAATTTCAGCTTCTTCAGAACTGCCAACCTTTCAGCAGTTTGCATCCCTGGGGGAGTTGTTATAAGCGTGAAATGAGTGATTAGATAGAAAACATGTAGAGCGAGTCTGGCCCAGAATAAAACCACCCAAATCAGCAGTTGTCAAGTACATTCTGACTTATGGTGATCCCCTGTGGATCGCTATAAAACTGCATTCCATAGGATTTTTTATTTTGTTTATTGCCTTGTGGATGATGATTTATTAGATTCTATTTTTACTCCTAACACAGGGCATATTCTCATAACCACCCAAACAGGTCATGATTTGGGTTGGGATGGGTACCTTCTCAAGCAGAGGGGAAAAAAATATGATGCCTCTACTTTAGGAAAGGAGCACTGGTGGAGCAGTGGGTTAGGCGCTGGGCTGCTGACAACATTACTGTCTTTCCAACTCTACCAACTGCTCCATGGGAGAAAGATGAGGCTGTCTGCTCCCATAAAAGATTTACAGTTTCAGAAATCCAAACGAGCATTGGACTCTATGGCTGTGGGTAGGTGGGTGGTTGTTCAGGGGAAACCCTTGCCCACAAGTTGACTTGTATACACAATACCCCCATATGTCAGAGTTGAACTGCACTCCTTAGGGGTTTATTGGCTGATTTTTCAGAACTAGATCACCCGGCCTTTCTTCTGACACACTTCGGGGTAAACTCACACCTCCACCTGTTCAGTCAGCAGCCTAGTGTTAACCTGTTAACCATCTGCACCACCTGGAGTCTCCTCATAATGAGCCCTCAAAACATTTTTTTTTTTTAACTTTTTCTTGTGAATTAAGCTTTACAGTTGCTTCCATCTCCATATTTCCAATCCACTCTATGCAACAATAGTGATCCGGCTTCCTCTCTGTGGTTCCTATTTGCATTCCATCCACCTTCCTACATGTTCCAGACCTGAAAGGGCCATAATCTCAGGTCCCCCAGTCTCTTTCTGACAAGTAGACTTTTTTTTTTTACAATTATTGAATTTTGTTCCACATGTTCTCTCATTATCTGGAACACTCTAATGCAATCCCTTTCAGGTAGCATGCACCATATTACACTTCTGGTCTCAGAGTCATGGAGATGGATGTTCACATGTTCTATTAGTCCATTGGATTAACTGATCCTCAATACATTTTTGTGTCATTTGCTTACACATTTCTGGAGGTTTCCAGCCCTTGTGTTGTTTCCTCTGCTTACTCAAACCCCTCTCTCTCTCCACCCAGATTCTTCTTCCGCTCAGGGAAGCAGACATAGGCTAAGGCAGCAATTGTCAAGACTTGAAAATCGAGAACCCACCAAGATTCAGAATTCATCTCTCATGTACACACTGTGCCTGCTCATGTGCTCCCCCCTCAAAGCAGTCTGGGGAGGAAGGAGGTGAGGTTCTCCTGGGATCATTTTCTCCCTGACTACAGAACTGGAATGCCCTCTGAAAGTATGGCCAAAGAAGTCTAGAAAGCAAGAGCAAAGTGCCAGGTGGGGTCTTCAGAGTTCTGACTTATGTGCCACTGATGCGGTCCTGCAGATGACCTCGGACTCTCTTAACATGAAGTAGCAAAAAGCATCGCTAAGAGCAAGAAGGCAGAAAAGTATGCAGGAAAATAGGATGTTGACATTCCCATGGCGACTTCACTCATTATGAGTGTTTGATTTTGCTAATGTGACTTTCTTTACACAATTTTGCAATTAAAGTAAAAAGACGTTTATACTTTCTGGAAACACTTTAGAGTGTGCTCTGTTGAGATGGTTTGTACATACATACTGTATTCCATTGTGTCCAAATGCTGCACCACTGATTTTGCATGACACAGTGCAAGGAAAAGGAATAGTGGCACTGTATGATAAGCTTTGGACTGCAAACCAAAAGGTCAGAGGTTCGAGCCCACCAGCTGCTCCATGGGAAAAATATGACGCTGTCAACTCTCACAAAAATTGGCAGCTTTGGAAAACCAAAACAGGGTCCCTGTGAGTCAGAACCAACTCAATGGCACCTAACAATATGTAAAGAAAAAATGCCTCTGATTAGACCTCTGATCAGAGGTGGTAAGATGTGAAGAAAATGTGCACCTACGAATCAATGAACTCTAGACAGAGTGGGTGGCTGTATTTTACATAAGAACTAATGAGCATGTTACACACATTCTGGGAGCCTGTCTTCTTAGTAAGTACCGGCTTCCTGAATATCCTGTGCCTGCTCTGTGGATTTTCACATGGGTTTTTTTATAACCACTCAGTGGGGTGGGGACTGGTACAGCTTCCCAGTTCATAGACTCAGCAACCAGGACTCAGAAAGGTTAAAGTGACTTATGGGAAGTCACTTGGGCAAATAGAGGCTTGACTCTGGAGTAATACCATTACCATGGTGATGGTGATAGTGGTGAGTTGTGGTCAGTTGATTCAACTTTGTATAGGGTTTCTGAGGCTGTAAACCTTTATAGAAGCAGAACGCCTCATCTTTCTCCCTGGGAGCAGCTGGTAGATTTGCTGACCTTGCAGTTAGCATAACCCACTACACTGCTAGGGTTTCAACATGACTATGGTTTTACTGAAATTGTTGTTGTTATTGTTAGGTGCCATTGAGTCAGTTCTGGCTCATAGCGACCCTGTAGAGTTTCTGAAGACTGGCTAGTGAGCTTGAACCACCAACCTTGCCGTTCAGACCGACCTTGCAATCCAGGGAATTAACCCGTAGCGCCACACCAGGACTCATAGGGTTACGTTGAGACAACATATATAAGGTACTTACAGTGACGATGGGCAAGGTAGGCAGGAAAACGGGGTTACCAATTTTTTTCTCCAAAAAACAACATACTACGGGGTCATGCGATGCATAATAAATATTAACGTGTTATTTGAGTAAAGGAATCCTGGTGTGGTGCTGCAGTATAAAGCAATAGATCACAATGTCTGTTTGAGCTGCGTGGTCAGTGCTTCAAACCCATCAGCACCTGCTCAGAAACCGTATACAGAAATGAGTGTAATTATTCATTATACATATAAGGAAATGTATAGCAAGGTTAAGGGACTTTCTTAAGGTCCCCTGGCTAAAAAACGGTAGAAAGAAGCCTTGAGTCCAAAGCACAAACCACAATCCAGATTTTAACCTGACTACTAAGAAAAGTCTGGTCTAGAACCATCCTGAAGGGTCCTTAAACAGCCTCTCATAGATGAGCAAATTGAGGAACAGTCTTAAAATCAAAGCAGCGACATTCCGGATCCCTAGGAGAACATGGGAGTACTGGTGTGGCACTGTAAGCACTGGGCTGCTAACTGCAAGGTCGGTGGTTCAAACACACCAAATGCTCCTCAGAAACCTTATACAGGGTCACTATGAGTTGTAACCAATTTGACGGCATACAACAAGGACATGAAGAGTCTTGGTGTGGTGCTGTAGGATAAGCACTTGACTGCTAACAGCAGGGTCAACGGTTCGAACCCACTAGCCACTCCTTGGAATCCCTATACAGGGTCACTATAGTTGGAACCAACTCGATGGCACTTCAGAAGAAACCCTGTGGGGCAGGTGTATTCTGTCCTGGAGTATTGCCCTAAGTTGAAATTGACTATGGCAGTGGGTCATCTTAGGACAGAAACTAACACTTGAACTCCAACTGTTAAAACACAGAACACAGGAAACCCACCTGGGCTTTTTCCTACACCAGCCTCGTAAAGAACACAAAGACAAGAAGGCCTTGCCTGGCAATAAATACTTTATTATTATTTTTTGTTTCGTGTTTATGATGACAAATTAATTTTCAAGTTTATTTCTTTTCCTTTAAATACAAAGCTAAACCACAAACCGGTCTAACCGAGACATTTCATCTCACACGGACACATAGCTGTGTAGCTGTGGGATCGGACACATAGCTGTGGGATCGTCCTCCAATTGGCTTGACAGCGCATGTGTGTTGTGGGGCGGAAAGGGGTGGGGGAAGACTTTCTTAGGTAGCACCATCATGAGGCCTGGGGGGAATCAAAGATGACAGGCTCTCATACCTGTCTCCATTCACATTTACCTGGGACCAGGGCAGACAAGGGACCCCAGGTCATGGCTCTGGAGTCCTGGCCCCCTGAACTGAAGGTCAACAGTTAGAGAGAATCAGTTTCCAGGGAAGGAGCCACGTGCTCCTCCTAACATCACAATCAAGGTGAAAACTTAACACCTGCTTGCTGAAGCCTGGGCCAAGGGGCCCTGCAGGCTCCCTTGCACACCTGGGGTCCTGCCTGAGGTGGGTGCCTTTCCGGATTAGTAGGCTCACAATGTCAGTTCATGGCTGTTGCTGGGCAGGAAGCCCCCTGGTGATCTGACAGAAGGCCCTAGCGGCAGCAGGTCTAGACCTTTCAACCCAGCAGAATCAGGTGGGGGTGGGAAAGTGAGGTGCGGATACTAGGTAAGTAATTTCTGGTCCCACTACAAAACTTTATTTTCAACTATTATAATAGAGTACCATCTCAAATCTCTCCTACCAAAAACAAAGCAAAAAACAACAACAAAAAAAACAAAGCAGAAAGCCAAACGCTGCAACTGCACTCATTTCAAGACCTATATACATATAAGTTGTTTTCTTTGATTTTATGATTTTTTTCTTCTTCTTTTTTTTTTTTTAAATAAATTCAGTGTTCACATTTCTATAAAGAGTTAAACCCAGTTTCTGGAAACCTGCCCTGACCGAGGGGGAGCTGAGGACCACTCCTCCCCACTGCCCACATCACGTTAAGTCCGATTACCTGCCCTGATGCTTCTAGGTGCCAAGGAAAGAGGCAGCCTGTGGAAGAATAAATACCCGCCGGCCCGGATTCACGGGTCGAAGGGGTCAGTGAGCTTTCAAGAAAGCAAAGGGGAAGACTAGCTTACTGCGAAACCTTTTTAAAAAATATTCATACACTTCAACACACGCGTGTTGAGACGTGGGGAGAACAAGAGCTTAAAGACATCCTGTCCGGGAGGCAGTGTCTTCCTGCAGCCACCTGTCCTCGGACGTCGCAGGGGTCTCGGAAAGGGGAGAGAAATCCTGGCTCTTCAGTCGGAGGCAGGAGAATCACCCAGCTTCCTAGTCCACGTTTGCCTTTTTCCTTTAAAACCTGTGCTGAGTCTTGGACCGCATGCACGGGAAGCACAAACGTTCGACTTGTATGCAAAAAAAGGTACAAAAAACAACTCGGATATAAAAGTTTTGGTAATATAAGGCCATCTGTTCAAGTCCATCTTGGAAACCTGTAACAGATATTTAAATACTACAGTGAAAAGGCATCTTAATATATATATATATTTTTAAAAACATCTGAAGTCATTCACTAAGATTTAAGTGTGTAAAAAGGAAGAAAAAAAAAAAAAAAGAACAAAAAACACTCCACTCCCTTTGAGGGCATTTTGTCCAGTGGAGGATGGGGACGTCAATGCTTCAGCCACGGGTAGGCCTCGATGGAAGCCTTGCTACGGTCCCCGTAGTCATAGAGCAGCTCCTCCCCGGCCGCGATGTCCCGGGACGCGATGAGGATGAGGTGAGGCACACCGTCAATGTCATGCAGCTTCGTCTGGCAGTTCCCACACTTGCTGTGATTGATGAGTCTCCCCAGACGGTCTGTCTCTCGAGTGGCATCAACACTGCGGGGGAAGAGAGCCACAGAGGATTACAAAAGCAGGTGGGAAGGGGGGGCGCGCTTGAGGACCCAGGGAAAAGCATGCACGCCCCGTGTGCACTAGAAATATCACTTGATATCCCTGGGTTTGGAGAGCAGTCCGATTCTAAAGAAATACTTCTGTGAGCCTAGAGAGGCTCTGGGTGCAGTGTTTAAGGCTGGGGTGGGGGTGTAAGTGAGGCAATTGTCGAAACACAGAAACAGAAAAGCAACCAGTTGCTACCAGGTCAACGCTGATTCCTAGTGACCCTGTGTGTATCCGAGTAGAACTGTGTTTCAGTGGCTGCTTTTCCCACATGACTGCCAAGCCTTTCTTCCAGGACACTGGTTAACTCTTTTCACCTCCCAGGGACTCCGAGTCAATTTCAGAGTTTTGTCAAATAAATAAACAAACTAAATGACTGAACAGAGGAGCAGTCAGAGATTTTTTGAGCTGCTCTTGCCAAATGCCCTGGAGAGGGTGAGGTTGGGTGAGATGCTATGAAGCAAGTTTTCATGTGACTTTGGTTTCTCTGTATCTAATGAGACTATCTAGGACAGCTCCCATTCCAGGTTTGAAAATGGGAAGAGCTTTGGAAACAGGCAATAAGATCTAAGCAAGAACCCAACACAAAGCACGGTTGGGATATTCCCGGTGGGCTCCCCAGCTTGGCCTCTCCTTTGGAGTAGGAAAAAACTGCCCCTTCAGAGTGTCAGTGGACTTACCAGTAGGTTTTGCTCAGATACTGGAAATAGTACATGTAGCAGCCCGTGGACGGATCTTGTGCATACAGAGCCTCCCGTTTCCTGGCGTCGGTGATCTCAATGAGGTCCCCGTGGTACTCCACTACAAACTCGCCCCGTAAGAACTGTTTGGTGGCAATTACTCCCCTGCCTTTGCCATCAATGAGGTCAATCTGTCGGGAGGGAAGCAGAGAGGGCTGTTTACATCAGAGCAACAGAGGCCACCATGCACTGGGCGTGCTTCCTGGGTGCCCTGGGCTTATATTGCTTTAGTTCAAAAGCTTTCCAAAGACAAATGATAAAATTGACTCATTTACAGCACATGGGGGAGTGGGTGTTATTAAGTGTATGCTTTTGTGCGACTATCACACTTCAGTTTGAGAATACTTCTGTCACCTCAGAAAGTCCCCTCAACTCATTGTACAAAACAAAATCAGATCCTCACGAGAGATCTGCTAGGTGGGGCCTGACCCATTTTGCAAATGAGAAGACTGAGGCTTAGAGAGGCAGAGCCACATGTCCAAGGTCACACAAAACAGTGGTGTCATGTGGACTCAAATCCACATACATTGTTGTTGTTGTTAAGTGCCATCGAGTGGGTTCCGACCCATAGCAACCCTGTATAGGGTTTCCGAGGAGTGACTGGTGAGCTTGTACCATCGACCTTGCAGTTCAAACGGCTTTGCAGTCTGGCGCTAAAATTAACTCACAGCGTCACACCAGGACTCCAAATCCACATATACGCATACCTAATTTTAGGACAAGGAGCGTAGTGGTTACGAGTCGGGCTGCCAACCTCAAGGTTGGCAGTTCGAAACTACCAGCAGTTCTGCAGGAGTAAAGATTTACAGCTTGGGAAACCCTGTGCGGGGTCGCTATGAGTCGGAACCAACTCCACAGTACTTAACAACAATTTTAGGACAGTTCACAGGCACTGTTGTTTGTTTTTTTTTAAGCAAATAAAGATTTGTGGCAACTCCCAATCAAGCAAATCTGTCAGAGCCATTTTTCTAACAGCAGATGCTTACTACGTGTCTCTGCATTCCATTTTGTCCATTCTCGTAGTATTTCCAAGTTTCTCATAGTACTGTTGCATACTTCATAAACTACAGTCTGGTGTCAATGTAACTTTGTTGTCAGTGTAACTTTGACATTCACTTGAAAACCGAAAATTACTTGTGACTCGCTTGACTGCAAGATTTGCTTCACTGTGGAATGGACCCACATTATCTCTGAGGTCTGTCTGTACTTGGTCTCTTGGTTTAGGCCTGTGCATCTTCAACAGGACCCAGTGTTCCAAGTCTCCACCTCTTTCTGTCATCTACCCTCCTGTGTTTGTCTTCACTGTGTAATAAATACAGTTGGAAGGAGGTTTCCTGAGGGGCTGGGAACTACGTTCAGGTCACACTACACGGGGGTTAGAAATTGACAACCTTTCTGACCTGTGGGTTCCTAACCCATTCCTACGTGCCACCACTGTGAAGATTTACTCCCCATTTTCGTGCCAAGCTGTGAGTTGAGCACTGGGCTGCTAACCACAAGGCTGGTATATTAAATCCCGCAGCTACTCTCTGTGGGAGAAAGATGAGGCTGTCTGACCCCTTTCAAGAGTTACCAATCTGGAAATTGGTACATAGGGTTGCCATGCACTGGAATCAACTCGGTGGCAGTGAGCTTGGTTTTGATTCTTGTGCTACATGTGTTTGAAGCTGTTAACAGAAAAAGCAAAGTTCTTGGGCACTGCCATTGCCAAAGAAAACATAATCTTATGAAAAATGTAATAGCATAGCTTTTTAACAGTTTCCCCAGGTATCATGTTGAGTAAAAGAAGCCATTTCACATACGAAGTCCATTTACGATTTTGGTATAAAAGCTGTTTCCTCAACAGCAGCTTCAGCATTTGGTCTCCTGAAAATCTGACAGGAGTCTGGCAAGTCAGTGGCCATGGAACAGTTAAAGCAACATGGCGGCCGCTCTTAGCCACAGGGCTTTGGTCCCAGGAAAGGAGATGATTTGTAGTCTTGGCCTTAAAATGCAGTGGACACCTACTGCCCCTTACCTTCATTCCTTCTTCCTTTCCACTTTCAATCAACTCATCAATTCTTTTCCTCTCTTCAGACTGGGTGGAAAGCAAAGGGAAAAATGCATCAGAACTCTCTCCTTGGCAGCCCCAAGCCCTGACCTCCTGGGCTGAGTGCACACCCCACAGAGGGACCCTTGGGTGATGGGGTGGGTCATAGTTGACTCCATGACAACAGCCCCCAAAGGTTTCCAGAGCCCCTAGGTACCCCATCTGTCAACATAACCCTCCTATCATCATCCTATCGTGGCCCAGGAAGTGTAGTGGCCTAGGGGGGAGACTCTGGCTCATGGGTATGTACTGCTTGGCCCTTAGAGGGTCTTGAAAAATGTTCAAATTGCTGACATCTGAAAATTAGGAATCTGACTGGCTACTCAATCGGCTGAACCTGATGAGAGGCTGCCCTCCTATAGCTGAGGCATGGTGCCCCCCATCCTTCCCTAGGCGGGCTACCGTGGATGTCTACACATTTTGGATCCCTGAGCGCCAACCCCCATAGGGAGTCACTGCCATGGATGAAGGAGGACCTTTCACCTGAGAGAGGTGGCCAGAGGACCTGGGAGGACTGAGCACCCGTCTCTCTGCTCCTTCCAGCTATCCCCTCCTGTTACCACCTCCATCCCAGACCCCCCTGCCCCTGCTGTCACCACCCCTTTCTCTGATCCCAGTACCTCCAGCTACCATCCTGACACCAATCTGGAATACATGTCACAACAGAACAAAAGAGAACCGTACTAAAGACAGACAACAGTGTTGAAGCAGCGTGGCTCCCAGCAAGCTGGGGACCCCTCCACTCAATGCTGAGCTTGCCCCTGCCCCACGGCTGACCACCATGATACAATCCCAGGCCACAGCACCAGACTGTGATCACATGACATCTCGAGTCACTAGGTCCCCATCTATCTGTGGGACATCAGCGATGGGCCAGACACTGCAGTAAGTGCTGGGGATATGGAAGCGGGCAAGACCCATGACCTCCTGGACGGAGTTACAGACCCTAAGACAGTCTCCTGCCGCTCTCCCTGAACACCTGGGACGGTCACCTTGCTGGCTATGCAGCTTTCACTGCCCAATGCTCCCCCTCCCCACCCCCACCCCGTCTCTGTTCCCCATGGCAGCCAGAGGGGTCTTTTAAAAAACGTAAAGAGACCCGTCATTTCCCAGAAATTTTACTTGACAGTATGGGGCCAGTGTTGGTCCCCTAGTTGCGACATGTACCATGGTAATAATTTAAGACTTTTTTTTAACAATGAAGCAGGCTGGGTGAGGTCTACAGAGACTCTCTGTACCGTCTTTGTAACTGTTCTGTAACTGCAAGGATTTCAAAACACAAGAGTTCAAAGCAGAACAAAATGAAGCAGTCCTGCTCTTAGCTTCCCACTGCCACTGGGAGAGAATCCCAACTCCTGAGGGTGGCCTTCGAGGCTCTGCAGGAGCCGGCCCCACCTCTCTTGCCTCATCTCCCACCCGCACCCTTGCTCCCCCACTCCAGCCACACTGGCTGGCTCTTTCCAAAGGCCAAACTCATTTCTGCCTCAGGACCTTTGCACATGCTGCTGCCCTGCCTGGAATGAAATCCCCCCCACAGCTCTACTTTGCTTCAAAACCAAACCCACTGCCATTTGAGTTCATTCCATTTCATAACAGCCCTATTTTAGGACAGAGAAGAATTGCTCCTTAGGGTTTCCAAGACTAGCCTGGCCACTCTTATCGCATGACCCCGTTTTAAAAACTGAATGTATTATCACTATCTAGAATCGTCTTCTGCTTGGCTGTCTCTGTTAATCACGCCAGTGGAATGTAAGTTCCCAACAGCAGGCAAGAGGCCTGACTGTGCTTTCCGGGGACACGCCTGGTCTAGAACAATGTGTGCCAGATACACACACAAACACCCTGTGGAATAACTACAAGGAGGCCTCGGACATACTATGGGTTTGATGCCAGACACTGAGGAGCTTTGGTGGTTCTGTAGGGGAGCACTGGATGGCTAACCACAAGGTCGGCAGTTCAAACCTACCAGCTGATACTCGGGAGAAAGACGAGGCTGTCTGCTCCTGTAAAGATTCACAACCTCGGAAACCCTATATTCAGGGTCACTCTGAATCAGGACGGACTCTGTGGCAGTTGGGCTTTGTGCCAGTTCACAGATAAAGTGAACGTCACCATACAGTAAGTCACGTGCACTTTGTTTCTCAGTGCAAAGATGCCATGTTCACACGAGACTATAAAAGCATGTAACAATGAAAAGTTTTGAGATATTGGGAAAATGGTCAAAACCGGTCACAGCCTCAAGGGGGAGCACATGCTGTCAGACAAATAACATCCCACAGATGTGTACTATGCAGGGGTGACACAGACCTTCAATTTACCAAAAAAAAGGCAGTATCTGCAGAGTGCAAACCAGCAAGGGTTTGCTCTTTAGTGCCTTCAAGTCAGTTCTGGCTCATAGCAACCCTGTATAGGGTGGTTTCCCAGGAGCTGCTGGTGAGTTTGAACTACCGACTACCAACCGTGTGGTCCAGTGCATTATCCCTACAGTGCCACACCAGGACTCTAAACCAAGTGTGTCTGTGGTTAACTGCAAGTGTGCAGTGTGGTGCAAAGAAGGAGGTAGGCTGGGAGAGAATATGACAGTTAGGGTCGGTGAGTAAAAACTGCCCATCAGTGCCTGCTGGGCGTGGAGGGATGAACCAGTGTGCCGGGCTGGGTCACCAAGCAGGCAGAGCCAAGGGGCTGGGTTTTCACTCTGGAGCCTTGGGTGTACAAACATTCTACAGTGGTCCAGAGACAGCACGCAGGAGAAGCAAGCAAGGTCTGTACTAGGGAGGGAAGGGATAGACCTAAGGCATTGGGCCCTGCAGCTGGGCAGGGGTTGAGGCAGCCAGAGCACTACCACAGGCATAGCCCCTCCGCAAAGCTCCTAGGGCTCAGGGCGCCTGTCCAAGGCCCAGTTTCCATCCCCTTGTCTGGGACCTGGACCTGCCTCACACACCCTCGCTTAAGACTTAACGTAATGTCTGTGAAGCTTCTCATTTCCATTTCACCCTTCCCTCCTCTTGTGCCCTGCCCAACCTTGGCCACGGCCCAAGGTCAGTTCTAGCCAGTCTCGAAGGGCAGTCAGACCTACACTGAGCTTACCCTTCAGATGAAGCCCAGCTGCCCCGCCCTTGGCTGTTACCTTGGTAGTCAGCAGAATCCACACCCTGCCCAACACCCGCCTTGCCAACCTGGTCAACAAACAACCCCTTCACCACTTTGACCCACAGCCACGTCTGACCAGCAACTCCTCTGTCACTCTGCCCAACAACCCTTGCTGTATTAACTACCTTGTTGCCTCCCCAACAAACTCCTCATCATGTATTCTCTCAGCACAGTCTACACATGGTGAGGAGTACCACACGGCTCTCCCTCACAATGGACCCCTCGATCCTGGAGCAGGGTGAACTTCAAGTATCTGCAGTGCAGACCCAGCTCTGGATGAAAAAGCGCGTGAGGTGTTCTGCTGGGAGACCAAGCATACTGAATCATACTCCACTGCAGCCCTCACGCCTCTGTACACAGACAAGCTCTTGTTTTTATTAAAAGGCAAATTGAGCTGTCCCCGGGAGTCCTGAGACTCACAGCAATCCTGCCCAAGCCCACGCTGCTGCCTGTGAGGACACGTCACAGTGCCCACCATGGCACGGGGCTTCCAGGGCTCTGTGGCTGGGTGCTGGCCTCGCCCTTCTGCAGCGCTGCCTCCCACTGCAGGCAAACATTTTATAACAGCTTGTTCTTGGCCAAAAGACACTGTCTCTCTCCAGTCAAATAAAGCCAGCTTCTCTCAGCTGGGGGAGGACTGTCTTTTTCGTTCCTTGTTTTTTCAGTGAAGTCTCATCATTTAGAAAAGAGAGAAACAATAGACAAGACCACAGTTCTGTACAAACCACCAGCAGATTTCACAGATAAACCATGGAAGGAGACCATGTGAGGGGCTGAAACACTCAAGCTTACAAAGCAGGAGGTACCAATGACTTCCCCACCTCAACTTTTTGTGGGGAGCTAGTCCTCAGTACTGCTCTTACGCCTTGACCTCTTTTGGGATGGGGAGGAGCAGAGGTGCTGACCCAGAAATCCCTGCTGGGGAGGGTGTTAGGAAACAGCTCAGGCCACACCCCCACATGCCTTAACACCAAGCCTCACTGCACCAAATCCAGAATGACTACTGCATAACTCAGCCTTCCGCAAACACAGCAGAAGGAGGCTGGTACGGTCCAGTCCCCTGTCCTGCCTGTATTTTTCACTCAGTTCTGTGTGTTATCAGCATTAGTATCTGGGTGGGAAAGAGGAGAGTCAGGGACATACAAAGGAAGCAATGGTTGGCACTAAGAGCTACCTGGCATTACGGAGTGCCAGCCCTGGCTCTCAGGAGTCTACCTGCATTCATGCATTTACAAGGCCCACCTCGTTGTAATGCGACTCACAGAGAACTGTGGTATTTCTGTTCAGTTTGCTTTTTAACAAATGGAAGGTCAGTGGCAACCCTGCAAGCCATCAGTGCTAGTTTTCCAATAGTGTGTGGCTTTGTGGCTCCCTGTCACGTTGGTCATTCTCACAATACCTCAGAGTTTTTCATTCATCAAACAACTGCACACATTTCATGGACCACGGGATAGAATATGCATGGTGACTTGCTTTATGACGATAGTTGTTTATGGTGGTGGTCTGGAACTGAACCCGCAACAACTCCAAGGTGTGTCTGGAATCATCACAACCAGCCCACACTATCCCCATTTTACAGCTAGGGACATCGGGGCATAGAATGCTTAGTACCATGCTCCAAGTCCCACAACCAGTAAGTGGCAGAGCGGAGGTTTGAACCCAGGCTGGTCTGGCTCCTGAGTCGCTGCTCTTTACCACCACGTGACAACACAGACAGCTCTGGAGAGCAGACAACACGATCCTCTGCAACAACTAGCACTTCCTCATGGTCCCAGGCTTTCATTGAGTCTGTCAGGGAGTCCTGGAAAATCCACCTTCCAGGAACATCTGATTTTCTAGGGAACATGTTACAGGTGACATAGCTCCTTCAGACACACCTTGGCCACATTCAAGGTAACCGCATCAGGGAGTCTGTCTTATGATAATCCTCACCAGCCCAGGGAAAACCCTGGAGCCACAAAGCAAGGGGACTTTGTTCTGGATGTCACAAATAGCACAAGCCTCATCTATGCAGAGATCAGAAGAACTAGATAGTGCCCAGCAACCAATTGTTCTGAGTAGGAACACAATACAATGGGAAAAAAAAATACAGAATAAAACTAAAATTCCTAAGAAAGGTCAGACTTACTGGACCGACAGAGACCAAAAAAATAACAAGACTCCCGTCCTATGATAAACTTTAAGCTTGGAACTGAAGTCATTCCCAAAGGTCATTTTTGAGCTAAATAACAGACTGGCTTATAAAGCAAATAATTATCACCTAAGAGTACTGTGCTCTTTTAAATATTCATCTAAATGACATCCAACAGCCAACATTTACCCTAGAGCAAAGATGAGAAGGTCAGAGGAGGGATTACTGGGAACAGAGCAAACAGACTGCAAATAATGAGAACGCGGCCACAAAAATGAAACCTATCTCACTGAACAATGTGTACAGTGGTGGTTCCATGCCATGGAGTCAGTTCCGACTCACAGCGACTCTGTATAGGGTTTTCAAGGCTGTTAAATCTTTACAGGAGCAGCAAGCCTCATCTCTCTCGTGAGGAGCAGCTGGAAGATTCAAACTGCTGACTTTAAGGTTAGCAGCCCAACTCATAACCCACTAAAGCTACCAGAACAATGTGTACAGAAATTTTTAATTCAGAACCAAACTTGCTGTGTCAAATTCCACCGGAAAGACAATAAAGTATTATGAGAAAACGAAACACAGCACAACACCCCAGAATACTACCTGGAGCTCGGCTTTGCTCTTCCTGGAGCTCCTTCGGACAGGGTAGAAGTCTGTGAGTTTGCGATTCTGTTGCGTTTTTCCTTGAGCTCTAGGGTAGGGAGGGCAGAAGAAGAAACAGGTATTGGTACAAAAAACTATGTTAGAACCTATGAAGCTCACCAGCCCCTGGGGCCCTCAAGAGTTGTCTAAGATGGGCTGCCCTACTCTTGCTAAAAGAGGAAGCTGTTGAACTTGAGACCCAGGCAAGTCTGAACGGAGGCAGGCAAATAGTGGCATGGCTGGTAATGACACCAGAGAGACAGGGAGTATGACATGGTGGCCCCTGGGCAGGCTTCTCTCGGGTCAAAGAACCCTCCTGCTCTAAGGGATTCATGGAATCACTTACTTTTTCCGTGGGGCCTGTTTGCCCTTCACGGGTTTTTTCAGGATGGGCTTGGCGATGGCTGCATTTGTAGAGTCACCAGACGAGGTTGGAGTTTTTGGAGGTTCTGCTGATTCAGATATTTGGTTTGGAAAAGGGGTCAGGGGGCCCCTCCTGGCATCTTTGATCTTCTGTTCCTCAGACTTCACAGGGCTCCGGATTGTGTTCCCAGTGTTTCTCTTCTCTGTGGGAGAGGGCGGCAAAGACACGGGTTAAATCTCGTCAGTGTTGTCCCATGTCTGGAGAGCAACTGCATTCTAAGACAGGCCTGGAGAAGAGAAGCGTGGCGTGTCGGGGAGCAGTGTCCCAGTCACCTCGCCCAGTGCCCATGATGGCTGTCGTGGCAGACACCCTTTTTGTTTTGAATCCTTTTATTATGACTTGAGTCCAAGTTTACAAAGGAAATTGGTTTTATATTCAACAAATTCATAGACTTCTTGTTTTATGACATTGATGATAATAAGCTCCACAATGGACAGCCAGTGGCTCCCACAGGGAGCGTTTTCTATTTCCATTTGTACTCTTCTGTCCCTTCCTGCCTTCTGAGCTTTCTCCCTGGGCAAACGCTGCCCTTTGGCTCTCCTGTGGTTGCTGTTCTAAGGAGCTGGAATCTCACCTCCTGGTGCTACAGTTCCCTTGGTAGTCTATCTATTATTTGGCTAAAAGCAGAGCCATGGGGGAGAGTTCAGTTCCAGGTCTAAAGGGTGACTAAGGCACATAATTTGGAGGGGGGGGGGGGGTTCTACCAGTGTCTATCCAACCAAAAGTAACCCTGGTCATTTTTAAGATTTTAAATTTTGTTCCAGTTTTTTCCCGCTCTATCGAGGACCTTCTATTGTGAGCTCAGCCAGGGTTCATTTTTGACCAACACATCAGGCACAGCCATTGGGGCCTCTGTATCTTCAAGTGGGAGAAAGTCTTAAAGGCACAGTACTGCTGACGGTGCTGTAGGCTTGAGAGTCCCAGCCAGAGCTTCCAGGGCCTGAGCTGCAGAGCCCAGAGAAAGAGGAATTCTAAGGAGAGATGGCCTGAGGAGGCAGCTGGACAGGAGCGAAGGGAAAGAGCAGAGACTTCCTTTGCCGAGAGCTCATTTTAGACTCTTAGCTCCCTCTTGTAACGGGACTGAGGCCTAGTATTCACGGTGGCTCTCAGGATGAGGTGTATCCCTGAGTATCCTATCCTACAGGATTTACTAACAATGGTTAAAAAGCAACAGTGGCATGAATAATTGATCTTTTTTTTTTTTCCTTTAAAGGATTTACTTCTTAGAAATAATTAACACAGGGTAGATGGAGGTGTAAAATGGTGCAGCCACTTTGGTAAATGTTTGCCAGCTCCTCAAAAGGCTAAACCAAATTACAGTAAAAAAAAAAAAAATTCAACCACTGCTATCAAGTAGATTCTGACTCATAGCGACCCTATATAGGGTTTCTCCTACACAGTGGCTAGTGGATTTGAACCACTGACCCTGAGGCTAGCAGTCCAACATTGTCGCTGCACCATAAGAGCTCCTTAAGAGTTTAGCAGAACTGGTAATTCTGCTCCAAGGTAGACCCCCAAGAGAAATCACCAGATACATCCCTGTAAAAACTGGGCACCATAATGTTCAGAGCGTCATTATTCATAACAGTCCAAAGGGGGAAACCACTCACACGTCCACTGATTGACGAATAGCTAAAATGTGGAGTCGTCACACAATGGAATATAATTCAGCAATAACATGGGGGAACTGAGCTAATTTCTGCTCACTGAATGAACACTACAGAAGATACGACTCCATTTATATAAAATGTTCGCAACTGGCAGGTCCACAGTGACAGAAAGTACATGGGTGGTTGCCAGGGATTGAAGGGAGTGGGGAGTGGGGAGAGACTGTCAGTGGGTATGGGGTTTCCTTTTGGGATGATAAGAAGTGCTTTGGAACCAAGCAGTGGTGACGGCTAAAGATTGGCAAACTATGCAAAATTCTGGAACTGTACTTTAAAATAGGGAGTTTTACGCTACATGAATCACATCTTCCCATAAAAAGAATAAAGTAAGTAACTGGGAAGCTTCAGAACATTCCTCCTCCCTTGTTTGTTTTCTTAAGTGAATCCAGGAGGAAAGGCCACCCTGAGCGTGTGGTATCTGTGAATACCACCCTCGTGTCAGTATGCGTCACAGCAGGAAGAAGGTTGGAAATCCTGCACAGGAGCCTGGACCTTAGGGTCACCTCCAAAATACAATGAACCCGAAATTCTAATCGCTGGTATTTACTGACACTGTGAGTCAAACAGGTGGTGCAAACAGGTAGACATTCAACTGCAAACTCTAAGGTTGGTTTGGAATTCATCCAGAGGAGCCTCGGAGACAGACCTGACCATCTGCTTCTGAAAGGTCACAGCCTTGAAAACCCCACGGGGCACAGTTCTCCTCTGCACATGTGGCGAGGCCATGAGTCAGAACTGACTTGAACGTCAACGAACATCAACGAACGTCAACAAACGTCAATGAACATCAGCCACTTTAAGTTTGTGATTTAGCTAAGGCCCTGGCTCATCACTGGAAACCTTTTTACATTCCGGCCCACTCCAAACAGAACGTGAGCCTGGCTGACAGCCATTTACAAAGCCCACTCCGCAACCGCCACATCCCACAGCCACAGGTACAAAGGTGAGCAGGAGGACCCATGCAGTTACAGGCATCCCTCAGAGTCCGTCCGCATCCAGATGTTAACTCTTCTTCAGTCTCCCAACTAACAGATGAGTAAATGGAGGCTCAGGGATCAAGAGCAGCAACTTGCCCAATGGTTTCAGTTTGAGTCAACTCTGACTCACAGCGACCCCCATGTGTATCAGAGGCGGACTGTATTCCACCAGATTTTCAATGGTTGCCTTTAAAAAATGTAGATCACTAGGCCTTTCTGTCAAAGTCCCTCTGGCAGAACTCAGTCAACCTTTCAGTTAGCAACCAAGCACATGAACCTTTCACACAACCAAGGACTCTGTCACTTGCTTAAAGCCTCCTACTATGAAGTGGCAGAACTAGGCTTTGAACTCAGTTCTTTTGAGGATTGACTGAAATATCATCCTGAGCCCTAAGGGGGAATCAAGACCCAGGCTGGCTCCTGTTTCTGCCCCTGCCTGGTTCAGGGTTTCCCTACACCTTGTTTTCAGATCTGGACCCAGAGATTGGGCTAAAGAATCAGTTACCATTCTGTAAACGAATAGGAGAAAACCAGACTTCTTTGCATTGGAGCTGATTCCACTTCCTCAAGGCAAGTCATAATTAAGAAGGGAGACTGGTGAACTGGGAAAGCTCACCTCACCCTGCAACTTCACAAAAATTGAGATTAAAGCAAGATTTTTAAGAAGTGTCCACCTGTGTTGCAGGGAGGGGTCACAAAGAATTTTCAAAAGCAATACATATTCTAGCTTAAAATTTTTAACTCTTCAACCTCAGTCCAGAACATGCTGCTTCTAAGAGAAGCACAGAACACTAGAGAAAAAAGACGCTTTTCTCTCAATTAAATTGGAATCAAGTCCAACTCCTAACAGAGAAGAAGGTTCCTTCTTCCCTGATCATACTACTGAGGACTGCAATCACCCAGCTTTCCAGAACCTGGACTCATAGTCTCTGTATTTCAAGCACTTGCATGCCTCTTTAAGTACTGGTCAGGGGCATATTTCTTCAACTTGCCAAGATATCTAATCTTGCAGGATATCTTAATTCTTGTGAAAACAGAGGAATCTATTGGGCCAATGGGGCACACACCCTGGGACAGCTCACTCTTTCCCCATGCCTGTGTTTCTAAACAGCAAGACGCATGGCTCAAGCCGAAGGAATTTGGGAGCCATAATAAAGCCAGTTGCTGCTGAGTTCACTGCAACTCCGGGAGACTCGGTGTGCGTCAGAGCAGAAACTGACCTCCCATATGCTTTCCAGTGGCTGATTTTTCACAAACAGATCAGTAGTCCTTACTTTCGAGCAACCTCTGGGTGGACATGAACCTCCAATCTCTTGGTGAGCAGCTGAGCAGAGCCTCTAAGACCCTAATGCATATGAGTACTTATGGGGGCAGCTGTTCCTGACATGGCCACCTATACTCAGACACATAAGGGTCATGTAAGAGACTTACCTTCTCGTTTCCGGTAGATCCCAGCTAATGGTTTTCCCTGGCATTTGACTTCATGATGTGCAACTGAGTTCTCTTCCTGAAGTGGGGAACGCATTCCAGAGCATTTGTTCGGGCTCATGTAGGAATATATCTTGGACTGCCCGGTAAACACATTCTCCTAGAAAGACAAATGTGAATTCTGAAAGACGCCTAAAGATGATTATGAACCCATAGCATTTAAGGGAAGGGAAGGAGAAATGAGCATACAAATGGCAAAAACACATCACTATTATCTTTGGAAACCTGGATCACCAGGTAGAGCACTGGATACATTAGAATCTCTCAGGCCCAGGTCAAGGGTTCCTTGGATCCGCATGGTCACTATCTCTAGTCATTCAGGGTATGTGTGACCAGCAGAAAGGAAACCTAACAAGGACCAGGGGCTACCAGGACCCAGGGCAAGCAGACTGGGAGGCGTCTTAAGGGTGGGGCTGTGTGCAATGGTGTACTCCTGGCCCCAGTCAGCCAACCGGATAAACCACTCCTTGGGCCCCAGGCCAGGTGGTGAGGCTTTTCAGTATGGCCTGAGTCTTCTGTGTCCCCAGGCCCCTCTCTCTTAAATCACTGTACCACCCCAGCAGTCCCATGGGTGGGGGAATTCTCTGAGTGACTAGGGAAGGAATGCAAGCCTCCAGCCAGGGCACTTGGGGCAGTCACCCTATTGCAATCTACATCTTGGACTTATTAAGAGTGGGCAGGTCTTAATCATGAAGGGGTGCAGGCCTCCCACCCACCCCCACACACACACCCCGGAATTTCTGGGGGTAGGGCCTCTCAACTGAGTAAGCACAGAGAGGAGAAGGGAGGACCCAGAAACAAAAGCTAGAGTTTTTTAAAAGGCTAGTCTGCATGGTCCCTGACCTCACTGAGGACCAAGGGCAATCCTCCCCACCCCCACCCATGCACACCCTGGGAGGAAAGCCACCTCCGGGGCGGACATTGGGTTGTGGGCATGGCACCAAGATAGTTAAACTTTTCTGAGGCCAGACACCACCTTGGCCCTGAGGGCCAGGCGCATGGCGGCGTAGTGTGGACAGGCGGCAGAAAGGGAAGTTGCCCGGGCCGGGCGGCGCCAGAGATCCCAGGGGGCGCCCACATGCTATCGGCCAGTCCCGGCGGGCGGCCCGGCTGGGCGCTCGGCGCGGGAATGAGTGCGGGGAGGTGCCTGCTTACCCCGTCGGTGCGGGGCCTCCCCGGGCCCCTCCGCTCCACCATCTCCGGGCCCGGGGCCGTCGCTGCCACCGCTGCCGCCGCCGCCACCGCCGCCACCTCCACCGTGCGGGGCTTGGACATCTTCCTGCCTGGAGAAGGGGACCCGGGGGAAGCGGAGGAGGGGGCGCTCAGGGCGCGGCG